ACTCCAAGTACCATTCCACTGTCCTAAAATCAGTCACTCCAGGTACCACTCCACTGTCCTAAAATCAGTCACTCCAGGCATCACTCCACTGTCCTAAAATCAGTCATCCAGCATCACTCCACTGTCCTAAAATCAGTCACTCCAGCTCCACTGTCCTAAAATCAGTCACTCCAGGCATCACTCCACTGTCCTAAAATTAGACATTCCAAGTACCATTCCACTGTCCTAAAATCACTGTCCAAAATCAGTCACTCCAGGTACCACTCCACTGTACTAAATTTAGACACTCAAGTACCATTCCACTGTCCTAAAATCAGTCACTCCAGGTACCACTCCACTACTAAATTTAGACACTCCAAGTACCATTCCACTGTCCTAAATCAGTCACTCCAGCACTCCACTGTCCTCCACTCATCACTCCACTGTCCTAAAATTAGACAAGTCCACTGTCTAAAATCAGTCACTCCAAGTACCATTCCACTGTCCTAAAATCAGTCACTCCAAGTACCATTCCACTGTCCTAAAATCAGTCACTCCAAGTACCATTCCACTGTCCTAAAATCAGTCACTCCAGGTACCACTCCACTGTCCTAAAATCAGTCACTCCAGGCATCACTCCACTGTCCTAAAATTAGACACTCCAAGTACCATTCCACTGTCCTAAAATCAGTCACTCCAGGCATCACTCACTGTCCTAAAATTAGACACTCCAGTACCATTCCACTGTCCTAAAATCAGTCACTCCAGGCATCACTCCACTGTCCTAAAATTAGTCACTCCAAGTACCATTCCACTGTCCTAAAATCAGTCACTCCAAGTACCATTCCACTGTCCTAAAATCAGTCACTCCAAGTACCATTCCACTGTCCTAAAATCAGTCACTCCAAGTACCATTCCACTGTCCTAAAATCAGTCACTCCAGGTACCACTCCACTGTCCTAAAATCAGTCACTCCAGGCATCACTCCACTGTCCTAAAAATTAGACATTCCAAGTCAGTCACTCCAGGTACCACTCCACTGTACTAAATTTAGACACTCCAAGTACCATTCCACTGTCCTAAAATCAGTCACTCCAGGTACCATTCCACTGTCCTAAAATCAGTCACTCCAGGCATCACTCCACTGTCCTAAAATCAGTCACTCCAGGTACCACTCCTCTGTCCTAGAATTAGGCACTACAGGGACCACTCAGCCTCTTTGCCCTGGTTGCAAAGTAGATATGGGAAGAGGAGAAAAAAACTAATATATCATTTACAAGGCAACATTTGTGTCTATATAAGGGAGAGAGAGGGGCAGGGAGAGAAGGAGGGAGGGAGAGAGAGAGTGAGAGAGTGAGAGCGAGAGAGGGGGGAGGGGGAGAGGAAGACAGGGAAGGAGAGAGAGAAGGGGGAGGAGGGAGAGAGAGAGAGAGAGGAGAAGAGAGAGTGAGAGTCCTGGATACTTCTCCCTGGTATCGGTTCATTTAGTTTGCTCTGGTTCTTTATTTTATTAGTTTCAATTTTTCAGTCTCTTCTCTGGTATTCGTTTTCTGTCTTCGTCTGTTCTCCATGCCTCTTTTATTGTCTTTATGTATTCTTTTTCATACTTCATTTCCCATGTTTTTAATTTCCTTTTACTGCAAACACCCCTTCCCTCCTCTCTCTCTCTCTCTTTCTTTGTCTCTCCGTCTATTTTTCTTTCTTTCTTCTCTTTCCCCTTTATCTCTCTCTCTCTCTCTCTCTCTCTCTCTCTCTCTCTCTCTCTCTCTCTCTCTCTCTCTCTCTCTCTCTCTCTCTCTCTCTCTCTCTCTCTCTCTCTCTCTCTCTCTCTCTCTCTCTCTCTTCTCCCCTTCCCCATGTCCTGCTTACGTAAAAAAACGACAACGAAGTTGCCCTTGTCCTTATATACCCACAAACAGGTTCGCAAGGCGACACCCCAAGACAAACGGAAGTCTTAATATTTCTTGTTTCTCTTTATTCCTAAATGTCATAATTGCAATTAATTTGTTTACATGATAATACAAATATATTTTTCTTTTGGCGGTGTGCCGATGATTTATCCACCAAACACACAAGCATGGAATAGAACGTGGGAATTTCAACCAAACAAGCCGATCACGAAATATAAAGATGGTTCTGTTTTGGACGGAATGAATATCAAAACTGTTTCGCCGAGTGAGGAGAGCTGCATTATTCTCGTGGGCGTGACGGACACGTGATACTTCCACAGAGAGGGAGAGGAGAAGAGGTGGAAAGGAGAGAGAGAGAGAGAGAGAGGAGAGAGAGAGAGAGAGAGAGAGAGAGAGAGAGAGAGAGAGAGAGAGAGAGAGAGAGAGAGAGAGGGAAGAAAGGGAGAGAGAGGGGGAAGGAAGGAGAGGGAGGGAGAGAAAGAGAGAGGGAAGGGAAGGCACCACAGTGCGAGTCACTCGTTGCGGACGGTTGAGAGGGTAATTTAGGTAAAGCAAGTCATTACTTGGATTGACATGTCACGTCTCTCTCTTTCTTTCTCTCTCTCTCTCTCTCTCTCTCTCTCTCTCTCTCTCTCTCTCTCTCTCTCTCTCTCTCTCTCTCTCTCTCTCTCTCTCTCTCTCTCTCTCCTCTTTCTCTCTCTCTCTTTCTCTCTTTCTCTCTTTCCCTCTCTCTTTCTCTCTTTCCCTTTCCCACTCCCTCTCCCTCCCCCAGAACATCCAAACGCGCTCACTTAATTAAGCACATTTTTTATTCAAAAATTTTAAGAGCATTACTGAAGACATGTGATGGAGGGAGACATGAGGGCGAGAAGTGACATGAATAAAGATAGGCAGAGACGGCATGCCGGGAGAGAGAGAGAGACTATAGATGCGAGGGAGAAACAGAGGAGGTGGAGGCTGTCCTGCCTCCTCCCCCCCCTCGGCCACACCCTCCCCTGGCCATGTGTGGTTATCAGGGCGATTTCAAACAAATAACTAAATCAATCGAATCGATCATTATAGAATTACAATAATCGAACTTTAAATTGCCTTGTTATAAATGAGATAATTTCTTTATCCAAATATACAAAAAATCTTGTGAGATGAATTTAAATCGACTGTCAAATAGGGCCTTCAGTTCCTCGTCTGACTCCGAATCGGCGATCCCGTTTGTCAACAAATGCGAGAAGTTGTGAGTGAATCATCGACGGCGAACTCCATCCCTTCGGCTGCGCTCCACGCCCTCCCCTACCTCCCACTATGTCTACTGACACGGTATGAGACAGAAGGGGGACCCCTGACTCCCGAGCGTTATGATTACCGGCGGCTGTGGCGTTTAAATATAAAGAAACGTGGCAAAGAAAAAAGAAGCCACTTCGCTGGTCACGCTTTGAGGGTCCCAGGCCAGACGGCGCTGAGGACGAGGCAGCTCCTCAGTGTGGTGGAATGTGGTGGCAGATGTCACAGTGTGGTGGAGGTGGTGGTGGAAGGAGATGTTCCTTGTGAGCCCTCACTGGTGTGGTACTGTGGTGTGTGGGGGCGTGTGGTGAGGTGGTGGTGGTGCAGTAAGGGTTGCTCTTCCAGTGTGGTGCTGGTGGCGGAGGTGCAGTGGCGGCCCTCGAGGGTGTGGTGGTATGGTGTTGGGACTGGGACTGGGATTGTGAGTGGAGGTGGGTGTGGTGCGAGAACAAGATTGTGAAGGTGTACTTGGGTGTGATTTGATGATTGGTAGGATTATTGGGTGATTAGTAAATTAAGTCTGCATGGTGATATGCTTCTGTAAGTGGATAATTTAAGGGGAACTACACATCATTAAAGTCAGTTTGTGTGTCTGTATAAGGTGCATTTTTTTTCAACATTATTGGAAAGGAATGCATGCATGAATGTATGAATTATAAGACCTGATTTCAGTGTGCTTAGTACAAAGCTATATTCTTAATGCACTCTGTATGTATTGTAGAAGATTAATACAGATACATTTATACATGCATATCCTAAAAATGTGTGTTTGTAACTGTGAACCCCAGGTGCCTCCACTGCAGAAAGCCATCTTTTGTGTGGTTAGTAACAGTTTTGAAGTCATCTTTTGGTACTTGATTGTGATTTTGCCGTATTCTGCAAGAATTCATTTTGACGTTTTAGTTGAGTATCATAAATTATGTAACATATGTAACTTAGTGCAACTGATTTGCTTTTCCCAAGTTTGAAACAGTTATATATTGAAATTGCTTAATGTTTACAAGATACCCACAGTGGCTTTTAAAAGAGAATTATTTTCTCAGAATAACATTGGCTATGCTATGTGCAAATCCATATGACACTTGCTTTGATCAGATAAAGACCTACAAATTTAAATATAACCCATTAATGGCACAATATGAAGTGACTGTCATGACCTCCATATGCTCAGTGCTGAAGCAGAGGCAAACAAATCTACACCACATATATTATAGCATATTAGAGCATGATCTTTATTTGAGGATAAAGAGCAAGTGAGCTGTACAAGCTGTATCATGCCTGAATATACATGGTAGAGATTTGCTTGTCAGTGCCTAAACACTTAGCATGAAGAATAGAGGTAGATATGTAGGTGTGACACTTCCACCAGTGGTGGATATGTCGGTGTCTTATAAACATCATTTTGAAAATGAAAGTAATTATAATAAAATCATTGTTTCCAAATTAAGTTGATGATATAATGCTTTTTATTACTGCTGCTAAAATGCACATTGTTTTGAATGCAGTGCCACTATTTGCATTAGTCTTAGTTGTAATTTCCAAATTTGACAAAATTTATACTTGATTTGATCTTAGTTCATGAAGAACAAGTACCAGATGGTATGATTTCCTGTGAGAAGGGAGAAAGAAGGAAGGAATGCAGAAGATAAAGGACATGGAAAAAAAATTAGGTTATAAACTTTTTTTTTATTATTATTATTATTATTATTATTACTATTAATTTTGAAGCAGTTTGCCTTCAATCCTCAGACTACAAGCATTTCTTATAGCAGCTTTTCCTTCTAAATTACCAACAGAGTTATTGTTTTGTAGTCTAAGTGATGCATAGTAGGCAATGGCCCGAACTGTATTATAGCTATGTCTTTTGTCCCTTTACCAATGCAAGATAGAGTGATATTAACTCCTTGGTAATGATGATGCATGCTTATGTGCTGAGAGAGATAATGAGGAATTCAGTATAAGGGAAAGTATAAAGCATTTAAACAAAGCAGCATGAGCTCTGACAGCAATGAAAGTGAGGAAGACATTAGGCCTAATGCACAGCCTGGATGTCATATGGTAATTGTATATGTGTTTTTGGAGATATTCTTTTTGCATTTTCTTGTCTGATGTTAGTGTTGTAGGAAAAGAAGCAGAGCTTATTACAGGTTTTACAGGATTTTTCAATTTTGTAAAGAATCATATTGCAATATTATTATGCATGAAATAGGAAAAAAATATGTGAAAGATGATTAGCAGTGCTTTGTAACTAAGCTTTTTATGGGAAGTTTTAAATTTGTATATTTATTTGCTTATTGTAATAGTGAAAAAATCATGAAGTGTTTAAAATTTAGATTCAATGTGAGTAGTATGAAATAAAGAAACCTGAATAAAAGAAGTCTGTGTTTAATCCATAGATTTGGTTGCAACTCCATAGTAATGCCTACTCATATGGAAATTAAGAAGTAAAAGATATCTCATAAGATAGTCAAAGAAATAAGAATTATAGGAATTTATATCAGCTGGAAGGAAATTTGCTTGAAAAAAGGGCACTTTCAACATTGGTTGATGAAAAATATATATGTAGTGTGTGATTTAGTTGAAGGAGTTCGGATCTTAGAGGTATATTTTTACATGGTGCTAAACTGAGATTAAGCC